TGAGTGTGGTTGTGAGAGTGTGTGTGTGTGCGTGTCTGTGAGGGTGTGTGAGCGTGTGTGTGCGTGTCTGTGAGTGTGTGAGCGTGCGTGTCTGTGAGTGTGTGAGCGTGTGTGTGCATGTCTGAGTAAGAGTGTGTGTGTGAGAGTGTGTGTGTGTGTGAATGTGAGTGTGTGTGTGTGAGTGAGAGTGTATAAGAAAGAAGAAAAGAGGGTCTTTCAAGGACCCATAAGAAGAGTATGTTAGGATCCAAAGATTTTGGTTAATATGATTCTCTGTCCCTGAAGCCCAAAGAGAAGATAAAGTTGAGGGCTCCCCTCATTGAGATCCCCTGCAGCAAGCTAGAGTGTGTGTGTGAGTGTGTGTGTGTGAGTGTGTGTGTGAGTGTGTGTGTGAGAGTGTGTGTGTGTGTGTGTGTGTGAGTGTAGAAACGCAGATTCAAGGTGTCACCCTTAGAAGAACCCGTGTGCCGTGCGCCATGCGTGCTCAGTGACAGGACATGGCAGGCTCCATCCCTCCACGGGAGTTGAGAGGAGATTGGAGTGAGTGATGTGGGTGAGGATGAGGAAGGGAGAGTAGCATGAAGCCTGGACACACTCTGCTCTGGTCACACAAAACCCGGTGGGCCCCCAAACCCGTGATGTGACCAAGGTCAGGCCTTTGGCACTGGCTGCTTCAGGCCCAAATACCGTTTTCACCCCCGGTGTCCTGGGCCAGTGGCCTTCCTCCCCTGCAGCCGGGGCAGCAGGGGGACCCGAGGAGAGGGTAGAGGGAAGTACAGGAGGTCGGCGAGTGGGTCGCAGAGAGAGTTTCTCTATTTCCGAACGCTGCCTGGGCCGCTCTCCCGCGAGGGGTTGGGGGTGGTGGGAGGAACTCGGCCCTGTGTCTCTCCCGCCTCCTGGTCTGCTCCCTGAATTAATCCGTGTGTGCCGTTCGCCAGCAGGTCCCATCTGGGTCCGTAAGGTCTGCGCGGGCCAACGCGGGGACCGGTCCAGTCCCCACTAAACCCTTCTTATTCCGGGGTGCCGTTTGTTCCAAGTTCTGAACAGGCCCTTCGCGTGCGTGCGTGTTGTTTTAAATTGAGGTGTGGACACGTAACATTATGACCCAATATTTGTATCTACTGGGGAACAGACAGAATAGGTCCAGGTAGCACCCGACCCCACACAGATGCAAAGCATGTTTCCATGTAAAACCATTCGTCCATTGGCTCTGTGAGAAGAGACGCCACCTCCTGGCTCTTGGTCTGAAGGTTGAGGTGTGGGCGGTGATGGTCGGCGCCTCAGCCGGGCGCTGTCCCCGTCCCGTCCTTCTTGCTCAAGAATTTCAGAACCTCAGAGGCAGGGACACAGGCGGTTCCTCCGTCCGACAGGAAGACGGTCCGTTATTACAGAGGGAGCCGGCGAGCGCCGGTCGTGGGCGGGACGCGGTGAGGAGCAGGTCCATCCTTCCAGGAGGGGTTGCTTACTCTGCATTTACTTATTTATCTATTTAATGTGTATTTTCATTGTGGATAGCGCTGCAGATAGCTCCCACTTTCCCCTTACCCCCCTCCCACCCCCCCCAGGTCTTCACCAGCTTATGGCCGCGCCCATGGCTATGCCTGTAAGTATGTAAGCCCCCCACCCCACACCGAGACGTGTTAGTCGGTGCCATGCCTCCCTGCTTCCGGTCTTATTTATTCATTTATTTATTGTTAATCCTCACCCGAGGATATTTCTCCCTCGATTCTTAGAGAGAGAGTGGAAGAGAGAGGGGAGGACAGAGAGAAACATCGATGTGAGAGAAACGCATCCATCGGCTGCCTCCTGCACGCCCCCTACTGGGGATCGAGCCCAGCACCTGGGCACCTGCCTGACTGAATAGAGCCAGTGACCTCCTGGGTCCATGCTCAACCACTGAGCCATGCGGGCGGGCGGAAGGCGCTTTAGGTTGTCGATAACGTGTGGTTTGGACGATCTCTGCAAGGTGCTATCAGTGCTGGCTCCACCTGCTATTGGCATTTGTGGAGATGAGAGAGTCGGTTATCTGTGTGCATGGCTTAAGATAGAGAAGGAACAGATAGAAATCTAGCCCTGGTGGTTTGGCTCAGGGATAGAGCGCTGGCCTGCGGACTGAAGGGTCCCAGGTTTGATTGGGATCAAGGGCACAGGCCCGGGTTGTGGGCTCGATCCCCAGTGGGGGGCGTGCAGGAGGCAACCAGTTAATGCTTCTATCGCTCTCTCCCTCTCCCTTCCTCCCTGAGATCAATAGAAATATGTTTTTAAAAAATGTAAGTCGCCCTAACCTGTTGGGCTCAATGGATAGAGCGTGGGCCTGCAGCCTGAAGGGTCCTGGGTTCGATTCCGGTCAAGGGCATGTACCTTGGTTGCGGGCACATCCCCAGGAGGGAGTGTGCAGGAGGCAGCTGGTTGATGTTTCTAACCCTCTATCCCTCTCCCTCTCCCTCCTTCTCTGTAAAAAATCAATAAAATATATTTTTAAAAAATCAATAAAATATATTTTTAAAAAATAAATAAATAACATAACATCAATCTACCTTTGCCCACCCCTGTTTAGACCACAGTCAGGCTGTTCATCCATCTTGGGTTGTTTCCGCCTTTGGCTTCGGGGAACAGTGTCTCTGTCCGTCCAGTGTTTAATATTCGGGAGAAACTTCGTTTTCGGTTTCCACGGGAAGGTTAGTACATTTGGAAACAGACAGGCAATTGCTTCTTTGTATTCTCAGCAGTTTTCCTACCTTTGGGGAAGTCCTGACACAGAGAGAGAGAAAAATAGAGCTGTTAATACTGATGGTTCCTTTTCAAAAAGAAGAAATCAAAGGGCTCCTGAGGCGTATTGGGGAGCTCTTTATGTTTGTTTTGTATCTGTTTATTTTGAAAAATGCCTGCATCTTCCAAAGTGCAGAACATTGTCCAATCAAGTCCCAGGTCCCGTGTTCCAACACGTATCCACGTCATTTATATAATTAAAAGGCTGGTAGGATTACTTTCCCGTCAGAAGGCGGTTAGAACTTGCTTTTCTTCTCAGTGCACATCTCGGAGTGGTTGTGAGCTTAAAGCAGAATGGGTGTGTTCCTGAACTTGAACTGGGAATGTTTGATTCGGTTTCCTTTTTGCTTGCACGTGAAATTGGGGAAGGACCGGGCACCCAGTGGGGGGCCGGGGGGGGGGCGGGGGGGGGGGGTGGGGGATGGCTGACTCTGAGAGTTCTTTAGAAGGGGAGAGTGGTTTGCGGGGTGTGGACCCGCGGTAAAACCCTGCAGTCCACTCTAAGAATGGTCCTTGTTTTATGTGTATAAAGTTTTGAACACATTTTGCCTTTTTGGTTTTTTTACTTTAAAAAAATATATTTTTATTGACTTTTAGAGAGAGAGGAAAGGAGGGGGATAGAGAGAAACGTTGATGGGAGAGGAAGTCATTGATCGGCTGCCTCCTGCACACTCCCCACTGGGGATCGAGCCCACAACCCGGGCCTGTGCCCTGACCAGGAACTGAACCGTGACCTCCTGGGTCAGCGCTCAACCGCTGAGCCACACCAGCGGGCATGTTTTGCATTTTTAAAACGAATGTTAACCGCCTCGGTTTGGGCATGTGTTTGCGGGTGGTGGGCTGGCTCACGAAGGCAGCCCCTCTTACGATTTGACTTTCTTGTCCCCCTGGTGCTGAAGGGGGGGCGAGGGGGGGGGCGGGGAGGGCATCTCCACAGACAGACCAGTGACCTCCGGCGTCTCCAACTATCCTCTCAGGGCAAGTCCAGCTGCTCGAAGCCCTTCCCTTCTCTCCCGCCAGTAGGACTGTGTCGTGATCCCTGCCTCGCAAATATTGTTAATTATTCCTATTTTGTTTTTTTAACAGAAATCATAGCCCCTTAATGAGCTTTGGAGCCAGCTTTGTCAGTTTTCTGGTAAGTTGACGTGGGGAGGTCCTGCGTGAGGCGGTGAACATATAATGGGCTAGTATGTGCTTCATGGCTCCTGCTGCACAGACTCACGATGTGAAGGACCCTGGGGAGTTCAAAACTGCAGTAAAGAGTTTTGCCTGTTAGCCAACACCTGTAAGAAAACTTCTCTCCTCTTTTTAAAAAGATGCTTATATTTCGTAGCGCATTCCCATTTTCCCAACCAAAATTCATTTTCAGTGAAAATGTAGTTATTTAAATATCTTTCCAAAAATTAAAACTGCATTTGAATGAAACAAAGTCAGACTTTGAATAATACGGGTTTGCTCTGAAATTACTGAATAAATGGGCCGGAAGGCAGTGCAGCCAGCAGAGCCGAGGCCATCGGGTGCTGGTGCGTTTTCAAGTGTAATTTCCTCTCAGGAATTGAGGGCCGAGGTCGCCGCTGGGTTTGAAAGTAAATCGCAATCTAGGAAACCCGATGCTTTTATTTTTCAGAAACATCCCCTAAACTGCTTTCAAACTTAATTTCTTGGAAAGCCATCATGGAATTGTAACAGAAAAGAAAAGAAAAAAAGCCCCAAGTAGAGACCAGTAGGAATGAAATAGAGGAAGCATTGAGATCCGAGATTTAGGAAGACAGACAGCAGCCGCGGGACGTGGGCCCGGGTTCCAGCCCGGCACTAGCGGCTCCGGGGCCTGGTGTTCGTGTGAGCCGTTTTCTCGAATCGCCAGGAAGAAAACAGAGTTTTCAGGGTCTTCTGTTTGCAAGAAAACAGCTGCCTTCTTTCAGGAACACGGTCCTGGGTGGGTGGGATTTGAGCCTGATGGAGACACACCAGAAGCTCGGCTGCTGGGGGCGAGGGAAGGGGTGGGGCGGCCGAGGTCATGGTGAGGTTGCGGGGGAGGGGGGGAGACGCGGGCCAGGGGGCCGTGTCTGTTTGGCTGGATTGGAAACGGGTTGGTCGTGCAGAGGAGGCCTGGGATGCCCGGCGGGCTGTGAGTGACGGGACTGCAGAGCTCACAGTGATGCGCCTCCTTGGATCCTTCCAGAACCCTGTGCCTGGCTCTGCCCCGTAGCCCGTGCACCTCGGAAACCTCAATTCTACAGGGTGGAAAGAGCAGGTGTCCAGCGGGGAAGGGATCACCCCACCCAGTCACACGTGGCCTAGAGCAGCGGTCGCCAGCTGGCGGCCTAAAACCTGTCCGGGGCGGGTTCCCCGTGGACAGCTGGGTTCTGTCCGTGAGCCCGTTGGAACCGCGGTCCCGGGAAACCCTGCCTTTCACAGAACTCCTGCCCGCGGTCTCATGCGGGTTTCTGTGTGGCACCCGATGGGGCAGCGCCCTGGGTGGGAAGAATGTACTTATCAGTGAGACTCGTTATAAAAGCTGAGCTAAGGACGAGTCAGACATGACACCGGGCTTTTGTCTCCGTGGTTATAACTAAAAGTAAAATTGTAGAACAGCAGGCGCCTGGCACTTACTTCCGTGTGTTTCTTCGTGCGGGTGCAGTGGAGGTGTTTTCTTACTTCATGCCAAGGTGCTGCTGTTGTCGCTGTTTGTAAATGGATAGGATGTGCTGCAACGTCCTGACTCTTTTCCTTGCGACAGATCGTTTAAATGTTTGTGTAGTTTGGAGTTTGGCTGTAATAACTTGGTGTAAATTTTCACCCGCTTCCTGATTCATCCCTGCTTTCCCCGTTTCTCTCTTGGAAGAACGCCATGATGACATTCGAGGAGGAAAAAATGCAGTTGGCGTGTGATGACTTAAGAACGACAGAGAAGCTGTGCGAGAGCGAGGAGGCGGGCGTGATCGAAACCATCAAGAACAGAATTAAGAAGAACGTGAGTGCGAGTCTTCGGTTCACGCCGTGGGCCCCTCGTTTTGGACGCTGCTCGTTTACGCGGGTTTGGTGTTTAGAGCATAACTGAATGTGTTACTTGTTTCTTAGGGCTTCTGGTTATTATAAAACATATTCCTTGTTTTGTTTTGAGGGTTTTGTTTTGGATATTCTTCTATTGATTTTTGGAGAGAGAGAGAGAGAGAGAGAGAGCAACATCGATGTGAGAGAGACACATCTATTGGTTGCCTCCTGCACCCACCTTAGCCTGGGACCGGGGAACAAGCCTGCATCCTAGGTATGTGCCCTTGACCGGGAATCGAACCCAAGACTCTTCAGCGCGTGGGCCAACGCTCTAACCACTGAGCCACCAGCAGGGCCATTCTCCCCTGTGACCTGGTTTGTACTCATCCCTCTTCCGAGAGGTCACTTTCTACAAGGACCCTGGCCTCGGCCCGAGCCTGCTGGGTGTCTTCTCCAGGCCCCACGGGTCCTGGCACCTTGCCCCTCGGAGCGTTCCTGCGATGCACAGCGAGGTAGCTTTCCCCCGCTAGGCGGTCTGAGCATTTGCATGTCTATCTGCAGTATCTGGTCCTGCCCAGCACGTGTGTTAAGTATTAACCTTGGTGACGGGTCCTTGCAATGTAAAAAGCCTTTTCACACACAGGAACTCGTTAGCCCTTCCAGCAACACGCAGAGTAGACGTTGTTACCGGCAAAGGATTAGGCTGACTTTTGCTAAGCGAACAAAACAATGAGTGCTGGGCCGGCCGGCGTGGCTCAGTGCTTGAGCTCGACCTATGAACCCGGAGGTCACGGTTCGATTCCCGGTCAGGGCACATGCCCGGGTTGTGGGCTCAATCCCCAGCGTGGGGCGTGCAGGAGGCAGTCGATCCATGGTTCTCTCTCATCATGGATGTTTCTATCCCTCTCTCCCCCTCCCTTCTTCTCTGAAATCAATAAAAATATAGATTTTAAAAAAATGATTGCTGGGCCTAGATCAGGAACAACAGTGACCATGATGAATTATGATGATCCTGAAAAGGAGAAAACTGGTCCTTCTGTCAGGCATACTGTGTATACTGTGGTCATATTTGCAGGAATTTCATCAGCTCGTATCATTGTGAAAGCAGATAAAAGCGGTTTTGCTTATTTTGTTCAAGTTTACTTTGTATTAAGAACGCAGTGTCTTATTTCAGAGTCATTTTTCTTCATTTAGAAACATTCTTTACTGTAAAGACCAACATCTTATAAAAAGTAGGATTTTTTGGTTTTACTCTTTGCTTATTTCTTTTTGAAGGCCTGCAATGATTATTGATGTCCTGAGCACACATTTCCTAATATATTTAAACTAGAGGCCCAGTGCACGGACTCGTGCACCGGTGGGGTCCCTTGGCCTGGCCTGCGCCCTCTCTCAGTCTGGGGCCCCTCGGGGGATGTCAGAGAGCTGGTTGCGGCCTGATCCCCACAGGCCAGACTGAGGTACCCCACTGGTGCATGAATCTGTGCACCGGCCACTAGTAAGCATATACGATCTTTGGTTCATCTCTTCCCGCCTTTCCCCCACCCCCCTTCCCTCTGAGATTCATCAGTCTGTTCCATGTTTCCATGCCTGTAGTTTCCACTCCTGCATTGAGTGTCTGCCTCCTGGTGGTCAGTGTGCATCATAGCTACCGGCTGGTCTGCTGGTCGGCCTGTTGCTTAGGCTTTTATATATATAGATAACCTACAGTTTAGCAACGGATATGAACTATTATAGAGACAGTTACCTCAGAGTATGACTTAAATTTCGGGTCCTATTTGTGATTCAGTCAAAGCTACTTTTTAATTCCAGGGAAGTCTCTCCTTAACACATGTAGGAGAGAATGTAGCCAGTTTCCATCACATCTCAGTTATGGGCACCTAAGAAATGAACCCTAATTAAGTCTTACCTGACGGTGGATAGCTACCTTCAGGCTTTCTACTTTGGGGAATGTTTTGTGCCTTTAGTGGTTTTATTTTGGAGAAGTAGGAACTCACGTAGTTTTATAAAAGGTAAAACCCTGCAGTTCTGTGTTGGCTTTCCTGGTCCCATGAACTCAGGGTTTTTATCGGTTAGGATTCTGGTCTTTGGGTCATGATCATTGTGTTGTGAACAGAATGAAGCCGCACCCGTGGTCAGTAAGGAGCGGCCAGGCTCAGGGGGTCATGTGGTCTTGGCGTCTCGTAGTGGCCATGTCTCAGGGAAACCACTTTGCACAGTAAGTTCGCAGCTGCTTGGAGGGAGCGTTCTTGTGGGAGACTCACGTGCGCTTCTTCCCTCCGCAGGCGGACGCCCGGAAGTCAGCGCCCTCGATGGTCGACCGGCTGCAGCGGCAGATCATCATCGCGGACTGCCAGGTGTACCTGGCCGTGCTCTCCTTCGTCAAGCAAGAACTCTCAGGTACCGGCCGCATCTTGTGAACGGCCTTCGCTAGTCAGTGTGCAGTCAGTGATCCTCTCATTTTCAAAACTAGAGGCCCGATGCACGAAATTCGTGCAGGAGTAGGCCTTCCTTCCCCCGGGCTGCCAGCACCAGCTTCCCTCTGGCTTCCGGGACCTGGGCTTTCCTCCAGCCACCAGCAGGCACCCGGGACCCGAGCTTCCCTCGCAGCCCCGGCTTCATCCAGAAGGTCGTCTGGAAGGACGTGCGGTCTAATTAGCATATTACGCTTTTATTATTATAGAAGCCTCACATTTCAGCCTTTGAAAGTCTGTGGCACCGTCCTGTCCATTGTGACTCAGTGGATAGAGCGTCGGCCTGTGGACCAAAGGGTCCCGGGTCCGGTTCTGGTCCAGGGCACGTGCGGCACATACCTCCGTTGCAGGCTCCTCCTGGCCCGGGCCCTGGTCGGGTGTGTGCAGGAGGCAGTCCATCAGTGTGTCTCCCACATCGATGTTTCTCTCTGTCCTTCCCTCTCTCTGAAAGTCAGGGGAAACATATCCTTGGGTGAGGATAAGAAAGAAAAGAAGAAAAAGCGGTGCCTCTTTGGGGCCGGTAACCGGTTACTCGGGAAATCGGGACACGGTTCCGAGCGGTGTCGCGTGGGTCACTTTTAGTGCCAGAGTCTCTGTTCATCCTCTCGTCTAAGAGAGTGGCCATGCTCAGGGGGCACCAGTGCCACCGACAGACAGACAGACAGACTGACAGGCATTTTCTTGGTGGGAACCAAGTTCTGTTGTTTTGTTTGTGTTTCAGGGAATTGTTATTGAAGGCCTGAGCACATACTGACATTTACTGGTCGACTTGAACGACCTACATTTTAACCCTTAGAGAGAGATATGAACTAATTTCTTAATTAGTTTAAGAGAAATATTTTCTTTAATTTTGTAGCTTTAAGATCTTGAGTGGTAAATAATAGCATATTAGTTTAACATGAACATTCTGTAATTTATTTTTTGTGAAAGTACATTTTTATTGATTTCAGAGAGTCAAGGAGAGGGAGGGAGAGAGAGAAACACCAGTGATGAGAGAGAATCACTGATCAGCTGCCTCCTGCACGCCCCACACTGGGAATCCAGCCCACCACCAGGCAGGTGCCCTGACGGAATCGAACCCTGACCTCTGACCTCTGCCTGGGCCATTCTGTAATTTAAACAGTTTCTTCTGGACATGCATGTGTTGTTTGCTTTTAAAAAGGTGTTTTACTCATGTACGGTGTTTCTTTCACAAATTGCCTTGAGAAGTGGCCGCCTCCTTCCTCCGGCGGGCTGATACGCGTCGGTTATTGTCCCACGTGTCGTAGACGTTTAGGCAGCGCTCTCGGCTCCTCCCCGGCCACAGCCTTTGCTGACTGTGATACTGATGCTGAAGTGAGGTTCTGGCAGCACGGAGACCTCAATCTCTAATAGGCGTGTGGTGATTTGCTTTGCAAGTAGCTCGGTGTTTGTTTGAAACAACAAGTATAACCCAGAGGGGGCTTCCCTCGCCTTTAGAACCCACGGGGTTGTCACACCATAAAGTGTTTATTCCTGCTTTGCTGAGGCCCATTTCTCAGAAAACATTTAAAAAATATATTTTATTGATTTTTTACAGAGAGGAAGGGAGAGGGATAGAGAGTTAGAAACATCGATCAGCTGCCTCCTGCACACCCCCTACTGGGGATGTGCCCGCAACCAAGGTACACACCCTTGACCAGAATCGAACCCGGGACCCTTCAGTCCGCAGGCCGACGCTCTATCCACTGAACCACCCCGGTTAGGGCAGAAAACATTTTTTGTGGATAATTTTCTTGGGGGAAAAACTCCTGGGACGTGTCTGTTATAGGCGCCCCTCCCCCAGCCCTGGAGCGGTTGGCACACGCCTGCCTGAGCTCCAGGTGGACGTGAGTCTGTGCATGTTGTTACTGCCTCACCCCCGGGCATGCGTCCTGACCCGGAATCGAACAGCGACCTCCCGGTCCGTGGGCTCTTCGCCATCATCGCTGGCGGGGCTGGGAGGGTCTCCGTCCCCGTGGCCCCGAGCACCTGGATGGTGGGGTTCGTCACCCCCTCCCCATCGAGCGGGTCACTGTTAGTCGCTCCTGCTAATCAGTCCCTGAGTGTGGACTGTGGGCGAGCTGTGGCCGGGATAAGGGTGACTGACCGTTACGCTGCACACTTACCCCGGGTCCGAGTTCTCAGGCGCTTTCTCCCAAGCTTGTCCCGTGTCCCCTGTGCCCAGTGGGGGGCGTGCAGGAGGCAGCCGGTCCGCGATGCTCTCATCATGGATGCTTCCCTCTCCCTCTCCCTTCCTCTCTGAAACCAATACAAACATATTTTTAAAAAAGAACTAAAGTATTTTTTTACTGGTTTGCAGCCCTGAGTCGTAGAATGGCCTGTAAAGCCCCCCCTCCCCCCCAAAAAAATAAAAAAATGAAAAGGACGCAGTGTTGCCCGGTTTGAGGCGCTCTTGCACGCCCTCTGCTGTCCGTGCGGGAACGGTGCCTGCGCGCTCACTGTCGCTCTCCCCCGCCCAGCGTACATAAAAGGCGGCTGGATCCTCCGGAAAGCCTGGAAGATCTACAACAAGTGCTACCTGGACATCAACGCGCTGCAGGAGCAGCACCAGAGGAGGCCGCCCGGGGAGCCCTCGCCCGCC